TAACCCGACACAACTCAAACTTCAGATTACGGGCAACAAAACCACTCCAATTAAAAGTGGCAATGTCCTCCACCCTTCCAACCATGTACTCTACATAATCGAGATCACAAAGTCATGACATCTTTGGGGCGAGCAACGAACCAAGAGCCAGCAACAAAAATTGCTTCACCGCTGCTGCAACAGGTGGGCTCCTTTTTGGTGCATCATCTGGACCACCACAGGCTGCCTCTCTAAGATCCATAACTTCTACATTTCGACTACGAGTACACTCCATGTTGAGCTCCTCCTTGAACATCTGAAGCATCTTGTCGTTAGACTTGACGACATCAATCTCAGCACCACCAATAGGCAGCCCGTATACACGGGCAACATCCTCAGCTTCGATGGTAAGCATCTTCTTGTTATCCCCTTCACGGAAAATGAATGAATTGGTGTGCACATCAAACTGTGCCATCAAGGAATCGAACTACTTCTTAGGAACATTTGCCAGACGAAGCTCCAATAGCCCTCCAAATCCAGCCTTCTCCAACTCTTTCTTGCATGCTTCATAGTACCTTGGCCCTTCCTTCCAGTATTTTATAACATCTAGCAGAGATTTGGTGTGGCAACGAAATCTATACCATGGCTTGCCTTGTCCTAGAATGTGAACTCCTTGTGCAGGTACTTGCACTGCGACTTCAGCATCTTCTTCTTCCTCATCCTCCTCTGGCTGTGGCGGTGGTGACGGCGGTGGATTACGTCGCTGTCTCTTCACGTTCGTTTTATCCCTGCACGGACAAATATCCAGATATATCATACAATTATCCAGGCAAGTCACAACAGATATCATGCTGGTAAAAAAACAATATACAAATATATCAAACAATTATCTAGGAAAGTCACAACTGATATCATGCTGATCACAAACCTATATCCAGATACATGAAACAATTATCTAGGAAAGTCACAACAGATATCATGCTGGTAAAAAACTAATATCCAAATATATCAAACAATTATCTAGGAAAGTCACAACTGATATCATGCTGATCACAAACCAATATCCAGATATATCGAACAATTATCCATGCAAGTCACAACTGATATCAATCTGATGAAAAACCAATATCCAGATATATCAAATAATTATCCAGGCAAGTCACAACTGATATCATGCTGATCAAAAACCAATATCCAGATGTATCAAAGAAACCATCCAAGCAAAACACAATGGATATCCAGAATCATAATAAATAATATCGGAACGCACACAAAACAGATTATAACATGTAGCAGAGATTTACAGTGCACCAAAATCTGTACCTCGCCTTGCTTTTACCTCGAGCTGCTCCTTGTGCAGCTCCTTCTGCTTCAGCTTTAGCATCTTCTTGTGCAGCTCCACCTGCTTCGACTTCAGCATCTTCTTGTGCAGGTCCTTCTGCTTCGACTTCAGCATTTTCTTCTTCCTTGTTTTCCTCTGGTTGTGACGGTGGTGATGGCTGTCGTGGAGTCGGTCGCTGTTTCCTCTTGGTTGTTTTAGTCCTTGTCATTGATAAATCCCTCCACATACAAATATCCAGATCTTATTAAACAACTATCCAAGAAAGTCATAACTGATATCATGCTCAAACAAAACCAATATCAAGATACATCAAACAACAACCCAGGCAACAAATAAAGGATATCCAGAAGGAACAGAATGCACATCTTGCCGAACAGAACAAATATCGGAAGGAACACAAAGCAAATCCACATAACCCAGAAATAACATCCACAAAAGAACGAACTCATATCCAGTGACATATAAGTTAACGCAAAATATATACTTCACTCACGAACCCAAAAGACAAATCCACAAAAGGAAAACCCGATCGTAGCCATGAAACCCTAACTCAAATCTGTCCAAATGAAAATGGATATCCATGAACAAAGTATAATTAAACCCAAAAGACAAATCCACAAAAGGAAAACCCAGATCAAGTCGTAGCCATGAAACCCTAACTCAAATCTGCCGAAGCGAAAATGAATATCCATGAACAAAGTATAAATAAGACAGTTACCTTAGTCCACAAAGTAGTTCTTTCTTCAACGACCGCCGTCAAACCAACCGCCGCTACTTCGTCGTCGTGAAACCCCGCCCTTAGTCGTCGCCGATTCGTCTGAAAAGTCATCGCCGTCAACACAAGCTTCATCGCCGTGAAACCCCAGCCTTCGTCGTCGCCGAAACCCCGCCCTTCGTCGCCGCCGATTCGTCTACAACGTCGCCTCGCCGCCACCGCTACGCTGCACCCTCGCCGCCGCTTCGCTCGCCGCCACTTCGCTGGTTCGTCGCTCGCTTTCTTCGTCGTGTTCGTGAGAGGAGGAAAGTGAGAGAGAGGGGAAAAGCGGGAAAGAGGGAAAAGTGGTTATGGCGAAACTGACCTGGGGAACGAATGGGTTTGATTTTTGGTTTTTGAATTTGTGGGCCCGGTGGGCCCCGCTTTCAGTTGTGGGCTTGGCCAGCCGACCCAAACCGGCTCACCTTCCTCAACCCAAACCGGCGCCATCTGAGTCTCGCCCTCGTGGACAATAAATCCACCGTGTGAGTATCTACTCACAGTTTATGCTGTGAGCAGCATAACTAAGTTGTGATTCGGGACGCTCATCTCAGACATGATAAAAAATAATAATGTTATAAGTTAAATAGAGGGGCAATATAGTCTTTGATATGGTATTTAACGTTTGTTACTTGTAATAATAAAGGGGCATGAAAGTGCAAGAAAATAATATAAGGGTTTCTTGTTAACTTACAATAGTAGAATGACACAAAATGCTATTAACCCTTTTATGTAATACTCCATTTTGTTTGTTTACTTTGGAAAGAATTGGTATCGCGTGTGCGAGGTTGGATGGACAAATATAATCCTAATCCCACTCATTTGTTCAATTCGATGCAATTCACTTGTATTTATTATTAAAATTAAAGTTTAAAGTTGAGTAAGAGTTTTCTTTTGCAGAACTCAGGGACAATGACACAAATATTGTTTTTTTTTTAATTTACCACCAATATGGCGGATTAAAAACTATTGACACAGATATTGTGTTTTGGAGAAAAGAAACGGCGAGACCACCTGAGACTCAGGCGCTGCCGTTGGGGATGACTTTTTGGGTCGTTTTATTTAAGCTGACAGCGGCGGCGCCCAAGACTTAGGCGGAACCGCTGAGACCGAGGCGAGTAGGTGGGGAAACTATCCCAGGCGGCGGCGCCCAAGACTAAGGTGCCACCGCTGGCTTATTTGGCCACCCCCTATATAAACCACCAGCCAATTTCATTTCAGTTTCACACCACAAAAAAATCGTCCAAGACAAAGGAGAGAGCTCTGGTTGCTGCTGCAAAAATGGCTAATAGGTAAGACACATTTATTTTTGTAATTATATTATTCAAATGCTATTATGATTGTGTTTAGTTTTAATTAGTGAGTTTGTTTTTTGTAGTGATTTTAGAAGATTTGAACTAGTCGTTCGGTGGAAATCGGAGAAAGTAGAGGATAATTTGGGCATCAAATTCATTGGTGGTAGTAGTTTTCAGATGACGATTCCATCCAAGGTCACATATCATTATCTTTGTGAGAATCTAATTCCGAGAATACGGCGTAGAGACGAAGCAGTACAAGATAGTGATGTGATCACAGGTTTCACTTACCGTCTTCCAGAATGGTGTTTTATTTTATTATGCGATGCCTATTGTGGGTGATGATAGCTTGAATGTGCTTTGGAATTTTATGGCACAAAATCCTTATTGTTTGGGTGCTGAGATACATGTTGAGCTCAGTGAGGATCAGGGTGGAGAGGAAGAAGATGATACATGGAGCGTGCCATCCAATCATGACTATGATGACGGTGATGACGGAGAGGAGGAAGATGAGGAGGAGGAGGAAGAGGAGGAGGAAGAGGGGGAAGGAGAGCAGCCTAATTATCCTCCATATTTTTACTTGCAGGGTGATGAAGAGGACGAAGAATACTCACTTGTTGATTCATATGGCGTAATTCCAATGCCTATTGTTGATAGTTTTGAAGGAGAATTCTACAAGGGCAGATATTTCACTCGAAACAAGCTGCACAGATGGCGATTAAACACCACGCACTACAACGCAACTTTCAATATGGCGTGGTGGAGTCGTCACCTTCAATCTGGAAGGTCAGATGCTTGAGGCACAAGGATGACAATTGTCTTTGGATGGTGCGGTTTGGATGTCGAGATGTTGGAGGCGAATGGACTGTGAGAAAGGATGAGTTGGTGCATTCTTGTAGCAGTACGACTCAACCGACGGATCATCGCCATCTTGATGTCGACATGATATCTGAGGCCATCAAACATTGGTACGTGCCCAACCAAATCTGAGTGTTCTAACTGTGCAAGCCGAGTTGAAAGATAAGTTTAATATGCAAGTTACTTACAAGAAGGCTTGGTATGGGAAACAAAGAGCATTGGAGAAGTTGCATGGAAATTGGGAAGATGCCACATCACCGATGAAAAGCAGATAAGTGGCACTACTGCTCAAAATGTCTCAGACTGTAGCACACTACCTCTGAGATGAAGTGCTCTCTCACGGTAAGGTTGCCACTAATCAAAAAAAAAATTTAATATTATTATCCCTAAATCTAAAAAAAATAAAACAAATGAAAACTATTCTATAAAATGGAATGTTATATACTAACCACCACGGTGTCCATCGAGTCAAACCACAGCTTGTACTGGAATAGCTGGTCACCATACTAACGATTGTTGGTCGAAAGCCATCGAAGACCACGTGGGGATGCATCCTCGGTGGCCTGTGCCCTCGTCTCTGAATCTCGAGGTGCCAGAAGTGGAAATCGCTCCCACACCCAGAACTGTAGTAGGGCGACCCATCCACCAAGGTCACCGCTTAGAAAAGTGCCGGTATGCGTAATGTGCAAAGTCGACCTACCCATCTCACGGTACAGGTAGGATAAAACAGCAGCTCCCCAGGCGAACCGTCCAGCTCTCTGCCAATCCTCAATCAGAAGTAGGTCTGTAGGTGCACCGTAGATCCAGACCGATCCGGGAAAAGTACACCTCCAATCAGAGATAGAGCATAAGCTCGTGCAAACTGCTCTATAACCTCCTGTGATGCATCTTCCGGCAGATGACTGAATTCAACCCTCAGCCAAACAATCCTAACAACAGCGACACCGCCTACAAGATCAACCGGAACCTGTCCTAACAGTCTCAAACAGATCGCCGACCACTCCTCATCCAGTATATCAACTACGACGGCATCACCGTCGATCGCCAGACCGGACAGTGTAACAACGTCCTCTAACGTGATCGTGATCTCACCACACGGTAGATGGAAGGTCGACGTCTCGGGTCGCCACCGCTCTACGAGCGCAGTAATCAAACTAGCATCGGGGTTCATAGGGACTAGGGGCACGACACTTAACGAGCCTGCCGCTTCGAGATATGGCCGATAAAGCTCATGGTAAGGTACTAAAATGGTCGTACCTCGAACATGGTAATGTCGATCACCAGCCGATAGTGCACAAAACTTATATTAATTCATCTTCATTCGTAATAATTCTAATTTCACCTAATTAAATTCTAATCTGTCTAATCTAATATCAAATTATACTAATTTCAAAAATTTGATACGTAATCCTATTCTGTAACAGTTCAGTTCACCAACTAAAATAATCTGATTAGCTAATTAACTTTACATGAATAATTATCAAATACTTACCTCGTTTGTCCAAACAGAGTCGATACGATGTTGGCCATGTCCCCAAAGAAGTGTCGGATCGACCGGACCTGGATCAACTGTCGCCGGCGGTAATCTCATCGAATAAGGATCCATAAGCCTAGGAACTGCAAAAACAAAGCAACAAAACATTAAAAAAAACACAAAACATTAAAAAAAAAATCAAGCCGCCGACGAGAGTCTCACCGCGCAAACGGCCGTCACGAACTCGCCGGCCTCTCCCCCTGCCTCTGCCGGCGACGACTTCTTCTTCGTCGGAGGACATCTCGGGTCTTCTTCTGTCGGAAGCGGAGGCGCTTCACCAAGCAGCGGCGGCACTTCGGACTCCAGCGGCGGCGCTCCTCGCGGCGGCGGCGGCGCTCCACTCTCCAGAGGTAGGCGGCGCCTCAGTTGGCGGCGCTCTGCTGGTCTCGGGGTCGGGGGGTTGGGTGTTGGGGGTGTGTTGTTGTTGGTTGTGTGGTGTGTGAGGGGGGAGGGAAGAAGAAGAGAGGAGATAAGGTGAGTGTGTGGAGGAGGGAAGAAGAAGATAAGGTGGGAGGGGGGCCCGACCGAGGCGGCATTTAAAAAATATAAGGGTGAGGCGGCGGCGCTGGAGACTCGGGCACCAGCTCCCAGAGCTGTGTAAAACAGTGGTCCCGCCTGAGTCTCTGGTGTGGCCGCCCCAGCCTTTACTAAAAACACAATATCTGTGTCAATAGTTTTTAATCCGCCATATTGGTGGTAAATTAAAAAAAACAATATTTTTGTCATTTATCCCACAACTCACCTCTCTTGGATTAGGTGTGGCTTTTGGATTATGATATCCATAGATACCCGATCCAACCATTGTACAATTATTGTCCTAAGTGTTTAAAAATATATTTATACAAGCATATTTGTGAGGGAATAGTATATCTTGTTATATTATATGTATATAATATAGGTTATTGTTCATGTTGTCTTTAATCCAATTTTATAATCATAACACATTATGGATGTGTTAGCTTATAGTGAACAGCGTCTTTAGCTTATTTGTGGCAAATCTGTCTGTGCAACTTGAGAGACCTTTGTACTGAAATAACATATTTTCCTCAAAGTACACTAGTTTTATACGAAATTCTCAATCTCCACTATTTTTAACCTTGATCATTGCATACTCAAGAGATATGCACATTGATCGCTTAGGTCTATAGCGATCTGCCATTGATCGCTGAACGGAAAAATAATTTGCACGGATCGTTGAGCTTGCAAGTGAGGTAAGTTGATCGGTAGACAGCTCGGCGATTGATGCTTGTATGAGTCCACGCAAGCACCATAACTATCATATTATTTCTATTTACATTATGGACATTAATCGGTTATAGCTATATAAGTCCTTCATATTCCATTCAACTGTACGGATGAAAAGAATACATCTAAGTTAACAATTTTTCCCTATATTTTAGCTTAGAATTAAAATAGACATTCATCAGTTGTATCAGAGCTGGTTCGGATTCGATGAGCTTGGAAGGGCTCTCTAGGATTGAACTCATCAATCGAATGATCGCGGTGTGCGATAAAGCCACCACTGCAAGTTGAAGTTGTAGTCGATCCGGTGGAGAACGAGGAAGAAGAAGGCGTCAATATCGTCGATGCCGCATTAATTGTGTTGCCGATGTCGTCCATATCACCTTCGATTGTCATCACACCACCTAGGTGATGTTAGGACAGTACGTGCGTGACCATCGACATATTGACCTAGTGTGTAGGTAGGTGCAACCTATTGAAAAGGAATAGAGTATATCCCTAGTTCGTGAATCTAATTGTGGTGAGATTGGGTCAATGGATTAGATTAAAAGGGGGGTTAGTTGCATGACCATTGAGCTAGCTCCCATATTAGTGATTCTCGCACTTCATTCCCCATGAACCGGCAATTTTATCCTTTTTCATGACATGCCTTATAGCTAGGATAAGGGTGAGCGTGATGCCCCGAGTAACTGCTTTCTCATTTCTACTTTCGTTATTTTCAATTGTTCTCCAAACATCCCAAAACCTGATCGACTAAATAACAATCGAGTGAGACGTAGCCTAGGATATCGAGACCCGTGAAATACGACCTAGGTCAACCACTATACTAGAATTCCATCTTGAGTTATAATTGGCTCAAGATGGGATAGTTAGTTAAAGTCGTGCAACCAATTCATGACCTGCACGAAGCGTCTACCAAGTTTTTGGCGCCGTTGTCAAGGAACTTCCGGTAACTAGTTGAAAATCATAGAGCTATTAGTTTAGCTTTACTTTTATGCTTATTTATATTTAGTAGTTTGTCTTGTTTGCTCTATCACATTTTGTACGTCATGGTTGTTCAAGTCTGTGTTTTGAAGCTTCTCAACCAATGGCAGAACAAGAACAATTGCAACCGAGACCGAGGACAATGGGTCCTACTCATGTCTAGGAACTAAAGATCTACAGTCACCCATTTGATATCCTAATCTGAATGGGCAAGGCTATGACATCAATCTTGGCATGATTCCTATGGTTAAGACCGACTTTCAATTTCTGGGACCAAGGATGAGATCACTCATTGCCATCTAGATGATTTTCTCACCCTAATTGATGGGATCAATGCGAATGAGACGGTTAGAGAGGCAATATGTCCACGACTCTTCCCTTTTTCACTTGGTGGCGAGGCAAGGAAGTGGCTCATTAGTCAACCTCATCATTCCATAACTACGTGGGATGAGCTCTGCAATAAATTTCTAAATAGGTACTATACTCCTTCCAAAACCTCCAAGATGAGAGCCAATATAGGGCTCAAGGTAAGTAAGAGTTTTTGGGGAAGCTTGAGAGCGATTCAACTCTTTACTTTTTGAATGCCCTCACCACGGAATTGACGACTGGAGGAAGGTGGCAATCTTCTTTAAGGGTGTCAATAATGATTAAAAAAACAAAGAATCGTCATGAATGGGGAGGCAACTTAAGAGATAAGGAACCAAGAGATATCGTAAAGCTACCGCAAGACATGGCTGAGAACGAGTACGATTGGAGAGAGGAATGAGAAGAGGAGAAAGTTGAAGCATCCAAACCAACTCCACGTGTGGTTGTTCCTTGTCTAAGAGACAGGATGGAGCAAACAATCAAATTGGTAGGGGTCAAACAAACACCAACAACATTAGAGAAAATACATGAAAGTGTTTCCCCCTCGTCAATAGGGTGCAATGTTATGAGTTGAGTTCCACTAGAAGAAGGAAGGACTCCACGAAACTCACATATTCCCTTGGATCCGTCTTCTAGAGTAAATCTCTCGTGGTCATCATTGGAACCACTCCGTCATGAGGAGCTGTCCTGAATAGGAAAGTTTTCAACCTTAATTTTGTTCATAAAGACAAGCAAGTGGAATGCACGCAAAAAATTTCAATACTTCATGTATGAAAGTTCACTTAAGATGAATGCACTGGAGGGTTTCATGGGAAAACCCATGGATAGATTTTGAAATCTAGGTGAAGGGAAAAACCAGAACAAAACGGATGTGCATAAATTGGAAGAAAGGTTAGCCGCTTTAACCCAACCGTTAGTCATCAAGAATGTTGAAGAAGAAAGCAAGACAGTCACTCTACGACGTGGGAAGGAGACTAGAGAACCACCTGCTGGCTGCTGCTGCAAGGTTAAATGCTCAACTCCACCTTATGTAGGCTTAGAGAAGAAGAGAAGGAGACTTCACCAGAGCCAGAAGTCCCTAAAGCCATGGAACAACCACAACAGGAAGCAGAAGCACCCTCAGCACTCTACCCTTCAAGACTTAAGGGCGATCAACTTGATGAGGGATTCAAAAAATTCACGGATATTCTCAAGCAAATTCGACTCGATGTCCTTTTGTCGAGGTCATGACTCAAATGCCGAAATACACCAAGTTCTTGAAGGAGATAGTGACAAGGAGGGAGAAGTTGGGAGCTATTTCTACTGTTGAACTCAACAAGGAATGCTCGTCTATTCTTTAAAACAAGCTACCCCAAAAAAAAAGATCCAGGGATTCACTATACCTTGCATGAGTGTTTAAAAAATTAGGTGTAGGTGAAATATCACCCACGAAAAAGAACATACAACTGGATGATAGATCTATTGTGTTTGCTAAGGGTACAATTTAAGATTTTTTAATCAAGGTTGATATATTTGTTTATCATGTTGATTTTGTTGTTTTAGATATTCTTGAAGATGTAGATGCTCCGCTTATCTTAGGAAGACCCTTCCTAGCAACTGTTAAATCCCTTATAGATGTTCAAAATGGAAAATTAACTTTATGTGCGAGGGGTGAGGATGTCACATTCTCAATCAATGATAATATGAAGTGCCCTAAAGTTTATGATGATTAAGATTACTCATGATCCTTGAAAGAATTGCATGATGTTTACACTTTCGCTTGTCACAATTCTCATGATCCTATTGAGCAGTGTCTTGTGCTAGGTAATGAAGCGACACTGGAATTGAATCTGGACAAGCATCTTAATGTTCTGGATGAAGGAACATAAGGGTAAACTCAATTGGAGGTGGAGAAGTTACACAAGATCCCACAAATTGCACCATCCATTGAGGAACCACCGATCCTGGAGGTCAAGCCTTTATCTGAGCATCTTGAATACGCCTTCTTGAGAGAAGACTCAAAGCTTCCTGATAATCAATGCTCGTCTAAGCTCAGAACATAAGACATTAATTTATTCAACTTTTGAAGAAGCATGAGAAGGCTATAGCATGGAAGATACCGATATCCAGGGTATCATTCCATCATTTTGCATTCACAAGATTAAGCTCGAAGACACCAGCAAACCGCTCACTCAACCTCAAAGATGCCAAAATCCCAATATAATGGAAGTGGTCAAAGCAGAGATTATCACATTATTGGATGCAGGGATCATTTACCCCATCTCAGCTGTACATGGGTAAGCCCAACACAAGTGGTTCCGAAGAAAGGAGGAATGACAAGTGATTTACCCTTGTGAATGTAAGACGTTTATAGTTGTGCAGGGGTGTATGTTATCGATTTAATGTGTTTTGTGTGGTTTGAACGACTTAGAGAACTTGTTTGAAAGCTTATTAATCAGCCAAAAAATTTTCAAAATTTTGAGGGTTCCAAACACCTTTTCTTGTACATCTACCTTCTCATTGTGCTTTGAATTGTTAGATGATCGCGATGGTGTGTGTTATAGGAGTAGTGTAAGGATTCTCGGCGTATGAGGGATTTTACTTCTATTTCCTCTTGGTTGTGTTAATATTGTTTACTATCGAGGTTGAAGAAAGAATATGTTACCAAACTAAGAAATTTCAAGCTGATCAAGCTTTTCTCCAACCTCCTAGGCTTCATGTCTCGTATGAGCCCACTAGAACCAGCTGCTGGATCTGATTGATTATTCCTTGACAAATGTCACTTCCTGGCGCTGTAGGCAAAATCTAATGAAGATGTTTGGAGTTCTAACTTGACAGGATTTCTTCAAAACCGACCTGTCGCTTCGATATCACGTTCCTTGAGAACTATCATAGGTTGTTTGTATTAATTACCCTGTCAATATCACGTTCCTTGAGAACTATGATGGGTTGTTTGTATTAATTACCCTGTCAACACCATGCGCTGCCGCCTTTTCATAAAATTGATGGGGATTTAAGGCAACATAAACAGAATATGCAGCGCAGCATAACAGAGCACAATTGATTTGGATCACAGGATCAGTCTTAAATTCTTAATGCTACTGGATCTCCGCACCGAGTCATTGTATGGCCTAGCAGTCATCAGTCTGACAGTACATAACAACATTCTCTGAATTGCAATCGCAATGACCAAAGTGATTGAAGTGTGAAGGAATCTCCTTTCTTCTTCTTTTCCCACCTTAACCCCCATTTTGCTGTGGTACATACCTAAACATTACCATAAAGCAGCAAGCACCAGGGACTTTACAACCCTCCACTTGTTTTGTTGCTTCTGTGGACTCTGTACGGGGAAATGAGAATCAAGAGAGCTCACTAATTACACGCTCGCATTTCTCTTCCAAGATTTTGACAGCTTCTGTAAATAGCACCTCTGGTGGCAATACTCCGGTTGATTCAACCGTGACTGCAGAGGAAAGACAATTGAAAGATAGTAAATAATGGAACTTCACCGAAATGGATGGCTAAATATAATACATACCATGTGAAAAGATTTCCGTATCACATATTAGTTATAGCTTGTTTGCAGGTTCAAGAACTGACTGAATCAAAACTGTACGAATCCACAAAGCCATCGGTAACACATTTCTGGTTATAAATAGACATGCTACGACAAGTTTTGACTTTTGACTTTACTGGGATGACAGTAAAATTGGATATAAGAAAGAATATGCATTTCCAGAAAGACTTTATGCGGCACCAGAGAAGGACCCCATTGACCACCTTTTTTAAGGTTGCCCAACCCAGTTATAATACTTTTGATGCATAGGCAGTAATACTCACATATAAAATGATCTTTGACGCGACGCAACTCCACACGCTCCTCCCATCCTTCACCCCTGACACATTCCCGGCACAGTCTGCAATCCCGTGGCCTAGCCACAGTTGCCCTTTTCTTGCCTGCTACCAACAAATTCCTATTTGTCAGGGGTATAAGACTACAGTGAATAAGTTGGAAATGCAGTCAACAGTTGATGTATGCGAGATATATACTTTCTAAATGTGGAATCTTTCACCACACATCAAATCAAATTACTAGATGCCAGGGATATATACTTTCTAATTGTGCAAGATATATATGCAGTTCATTGATGTATTTGACAAGATGAAGAGGGCAATTGGGGTGTACAAATGAAAGGAACTAGATCCTCCAATCTCTTTCCCATGGATGAGAAAGAGTGGTCAAAATAGCAGCAACTTGCAGAACATTGAACTATAATATTTTACATTATTCCTCAAACCGAAGTATTTAAGGATGGTTAATCTATGCAATTTCTTATCTGTTTCCTTCATTAGTTCAAACACCTGAAAGGATGCAGTCCCAATTACATCTAGCAGAAGCATTTAGCTCGAGCCACCAACAAACAAATGCATATAGGTAAAACATTCTCTCTAAAACCTCTTTCCTCTCACTGAAATTATAGTTAACGGGAAAGGGAAGGATAGCAGAGCACTCTACCGTGACCAATGTCTTCAATGTCAAATACTTTATCAGGACATCTCCTCACAAGTTCCTCTGCAACCTCATCTTCTACATCTTCCAGTAATAGAACCTACCAAGTAGAAACATGTATCAAGAACAAACAGGGGAAATCTTGCATCATAGGAACCATTTGGGGTGGGGGGGGGGGGGGGGGGGGAGGTGGGGAGAAACTTCATTTACTATCAGGAGAAGAAATTTCTAACCTCGGGAAGCATACGGTACCAAGCAGTGGCTACCGGTGACCACTTTGCATGTGTTTTACCCAGGCCTTTAACAGCATGCGCTTCTAGTTCAATTTCCTGTGAAGTAACTAAAACGTTTTAGCAATTGCACCTAAACCTTGGCCTGAAAAATAATTACAACCTTCACCAAATGATATACCATGAATTTAAGAGGATTATCAATGATCTGCCATTTCGCACTCTTAAAATATACAAAATTTGTTGAAATTTCTGAGCAATATGTTCCTTATGTCCTAGCAATTCTGCAGTAGTAGGAATATTCTTACCTGTTTAGAGCCAAGTTTAGCAAGTATGATCTTATCCTCTGAAGGACTTATTGGGTCCTCTGAGAATTCTGGTAGCATGTCTTGACTGCAAGTAAACGAAGTATAAGTAGTGGGTTTTGAATCTGCTTGGCCTGCTTCCTTTATCAACTCACTCCCTTTCGGCAGCCACTTCAATTCTTCAGAATACACTGCAGCATAAAGGTCTCAATATGAAACCATGGATTGAAAAAAAAAATTTGATGCGTCAGAACTGCTAAGATGAATCAGCAGCATACCTGTTCGGCGCTCGCCACGTTTACAGGTAGCATGGAGCTTGAAAACTATAGTGTTTTTCTCATTTGGTGTATCATTTGCTACACTCAAGATGAAAGGCAGACGTTAGTTCAAAGGGATAAATATCAAAAGGGTATGCTTTTCTATTTCATATGAAAATTATTATTGGAAGAAGCGAAAATGATGCAACTCAAACCTGAAAGATACTCAAACAGCCTGGGGTCTGCCTTGAGTGGAACGAGACCCAATCGGTGAGCAAGCACTTCATCTTGAACCACCGATGTATTATATGCAATAAGAACTTTTTCAATTGCCATTGTAGGTACCTAAATGCATTGTTACCTACCATTCAGTACACCATTTATGCAAAAGATCCGGTGCAAAAGGTATAGTGTCAATTGGTCAGCAATTTTGACAGGATGAGTCATCTGCTCATCCTAGTTCCTACAACCCGATAGTTCAAACATTACAAGCCACACATTAAACGTACCTCGGATATTAGAATCCTCCGAAAAGCATTTGCCAGTGCAGGATCAATACCAATCATATCAAATTCCATGTCTTCCTTGGTGAGTCTGATCACGTTAACTTTGAAGTTGTCACGAAAAAGATCCAGATGGACACTATTATCAACCCCAATAGATGCATAAGCACCGGAGTAAGATATATTATCAGTCTGCAGTCAACATAATCACAGACCATGAGAAATATCAATGATGATTTCAGTACTACTGCATATTGTATTTGTTTTGCAGGGGAGTAAATCAAATCTAAAAAAGTCTGAAGCGACAACGATTTAGAGGAAAACTCTAGATAGTTGGAAAAGGAAAACGAGAAAGACCAAACAGTACAAAATGAATTACTTGAGAAACTTATGAACTAACGAGGAGCTCAAAGTAAAGGATTGAACTTAACATCCAGCACGACCTGTAGCTCTTAAGTTCATTGCATATAAAAAAGCAACTCAATCTGCCTAACTCCGTACATTTAAGCACAGCTGAAACTAGCACTAGAAAAGTCTCGAGAGGCCCCAAGCAAAAGTTTGCATCTTTTACCTACCCTTGATTGAAAGCTCGGTGAAACTTGATAAACCATCTCTGAGGCAACAGTAACCCAACCCACACGATAGAAACGCAAGCGGTGAATGGAATGAGGTTAGAGGGAGCGAGTTCTTACGTGAATGGGCGCATCTGCTTTGCAAACAACGCGAGTCTTTTGAAGCTGGAGGTGAGGCGGGAGTTGGCCCATTGGGACGTCGGGCAAATCCCATATCGAAAACTTTTTGTTCGGCTCGTCGTTATTACCTCCCTTATTCTCCTTCTCGTTCATGTTGCGCTCAGTTGGATTGATTTGATGGATGATTCGTACCCTCCGTCTCGATTCCTTCACTGGTTCCTTGCTTCAGGAGTTCAGAGTTCTGGGGGCAGGGAGAGGGAGAATGAAGGAGGGGAACTTATACGATTGCAATTGCTGGGTAGGGTTTAGGGTTTTATCATTTATGCCAATGCTGTAGGCTCGCTCGAATCGCCCAGGTGATTGGGTCTGTGGGTTATTGACCGGACCGGATTCGAGTGAAATAAATTGGCCACGAGAGAGGGAGGCGGGGAACCTCATTAGATGGTTTAAATGATTATCATAGTTATTAAATTATTTAAATTAAAATTCTATTAATTATGAAATACAATCGTAACCAAATCGAGTAAATTAATACAACAATCAAATTAATCAAATTCAATTTTATCGGTTTGGTTAATTGGTATTAATTAATATATCATAACATTATCAGTACGTGAGAAAAATCTCTTGTTAATACATCAATTTGTAATTTATATAATGAATAAAATATAAAAACCACATAGTTACCATTTAACATAAATATATGTAACAAATACAATTATCTTATGGTCATTAGAAGTAGCAACCTAAAAAGATATTTGGGAATGGTATGGGGTTAATGAATTCAGTGTGTCTGTGTGAATTGTCTTAGTCTCTTAACAATGATCAGAGCCTGAAAAAGCTCTTCCTTTTAGATTTTTCTCCAACATAATGCATGTGTTTTATCTAAATTATGCGTCCATATATTGTTGTCTACACTCTATAAAAACAAATATAGTATATGAATAATAGTGAGTTTTATTATTTTAATAGGTACAAAAGGGATAAATGTTTGAGTTTTTAGTGGTTATGCAAAGTAATTATGAGTATATAATATTAAGTATAAGACTAATTGTTTAATTGGTAAATTATTTTGATTGGTTAGGAGTGTCAGAAACCAAACCAAGCCACATAAATCAAACAAGCTAAATTTTTTAACAAAACCAAACCAGTTAAACAAATTAATCAAATTATTCGAATACAGCAGATTAATATGGTTACCACGGTAACCACTCCGTTTGAACACCCCTTCATAATTGGGTATAGCAGTTAATTATAAATTATTTTTGTTTGACAAATAGGTGGTGCAAATTCAAAGTGTTGTAAGTATGAGTGAAAATTCAAAATTATATGGTATGTAAATGTATGGGGCGAAGGTGGACATTGGGTGGTTTGGGTGAGTTTTAGTATCAAATTGTAGGGCTGGCTATTTGGGCCGGGACCGGATGAAAAACCGGAAACCGGACCGTATAACCCGGACCGAGACCGGACCGGGACCGGATAGTAAACAATCCAATCCAATCTTTGGGCTTAGATTTGAGGTAAAAAACCGGATAAAGACCGGATAAGAGAGCTCAACACCCAAAACTTAAGGGTAATTTGCATAAACGGTCACAAACCTTTGCACTTAGTACAAAACTTAACCAACTCCTCACTCTTTTAGGCCTTAGGCCACTCAAATTCCCACAATCTCAATATAAAATCAAGACCGAATTGGGACCGGACCGGGTCAAGACCGGACTGGATCAAGACCGGACTGTATCCAATCCAATCTTCGGTCCTTATATTTTCAGAAAAACCGGACTGGACCGGATCAATTTGGGCCAATTTAACCGGACCGGACCGTATAGCCACCCCTATCAAATTGACATATCTTCTCACTGACGAGTTGGTAGAATTGTTATCTGATGCCACCCACATTCTTCTTCTGCTTGGATTAGGTTGGTGGTGAGTGATTGCGGCTGGGTTGCGAGTTAATCTGAAAAAAACAATTCCCCAACTAGTTATTAAACAAGTTGACTAACGTTCATAAATTGGTAAGATTGTAGCAATTTAGATTTTAGACACCTTTCATTTCGTCTCTTGCGGATTCAACTAGTACTTGGAACCTGGGGGGAAAATATTGCTCATGCCACCTTTTAATTTGGTGATTTAATTAATTGTGTATGGTTTTTTTTGTTGAAAAATATCCATCACAATTCTATCATTTCTCTCGTTTCTCTCTGAACTAGGCCATCTCGATCTCGCTTCCAATGGAGGTCGTCGCTGACGAAGCATCATCAGGAGTCATTAATGGCAGTTGCTTGTGGGCCTCTTGCATTTTTTCATGCATATTCATTATATCAGATTTATGTGGGTTTCTTGACCCTTGAAATCCTGCCTCGTGTGATCTGCCCCCAAGAATGGTCCTGAGCGACCAAAATATGGATTATCTTGTTCAATTCTGGCAGAGTCTTGGTGAGAATGTCTCCACCCGGGCACAGAGACTCGATCAACCATTGACTCTCTGGGTACAAAGCACTGTAGAAGTTCCCCATGATGAATGCAACACTAAAACCGTGGCGGAGACACTTCCAGAACAGTCCAAAATATCGTTCTCAAGCGTCTCTCAAGGACTCATCATCTTCCTGGCGAAAATGGGTGATTTCACGGTGAATCTCTAAAGGCTTTAAGGCTGGTAGTATTGGTGCACGAATTTGTTAGCTAGATCATCCCAGGAAGTGATGGACAGTGCTGGATGAGTTTCTAGCCACCTCTTTTCATGCCCCTCCATTGAGTGGGGAAAAGATGAAGGCGGATTGCATCATCTGGAACACCATTCAGCTTGAAACCATTGATCAAATGCAAGAACAAAGAAAGGTGTACCCTCGTCTCTTCATCCTTGAGCCCATGAAACTGGATGGAGGATGTAATCAACTAGATCTAACAAGGCTTGATCTCAAAGTTGTTAGCAAGTATGGGCGGATACTGGATAACTCGACGGATATCAGCAAGTCGTTAGAAGTACTCCATGGTTTGCTCCGGCAGAGGTGGTTGTTGGTGGGCAGCGTTTACCTGTAGATTGCCATTGTTAGGCAGAACCTGATTCACTGAGTGAATCTGGAGAGGCATCCCCATATGAGGTTTCCCCTGGTCCAGAGGTGGATTATGCATCAGGTTCAGGTTGTTCATCCTGTTGTGCTCGTCTCTCATATTGTCTTCCTACTCGGAGTCGCTGTTGATCCGGCCATTGACTTGCTATTCCTCCGTAGCCAGTCTATTCTTCGAGGCTCTCCGGATGTGGCGAAGAGTGCGCTAGAGCTCGTTGTCAATGGAAACAAGTTCTTTTTGGACTGGCTACGGGTCATGTACTACCTGCACATAAGCTACAAGCAAATCCGTGAAGGCAAACAGGGGAAAGAAATAAAAGAAAACAATGCGGAAAAGAAATGCTAAAGTAACAGAAATCATGTTTCTTCAACAACCTAGCCATCCCCGGCAACGACGCTAAAAACTTGACTCGCCAATACCGTCACACTAGAAAGTGGCCGAGTGTAACCACAAACTAATGCATAGTATAGCGGGTTTAGCTTTACTTGTCAACCCGGGTCCTAGATGTGATGACCGCTCCGTGAAGTTCTCGTTATCTAGCAATTTAAATGTAGTGAAGTTATAGCTAATCTAAGAAAACACAAAGCAGTAAGTTTGTGATCCAAGTTAAGAAGGCTCACTCAGGTATGAGTCACCCTAGATTGCAGTTAGGCCAAGTTGTAATTCACCTAAACCAAGTTTATTGATGTTTAAATCGCGGAAAGTTCTCAAATAGTCTGGAATCTCGACTAAAGTGCTCTAGACTCTCTCAGTTTGAATACCCGGCGGACGACTAACCTCCGTCGGCGTAAGCTAACCGAAACAATAAGATCAAACTTCCTCTACTGGGTTCTAAACCAGTACAGAGTAGTGAATCGACTTTCCAACTAAAGTCGCTGTTTCACTACCTCCAATTCAGGATGCTCTATTGACCTATGCAGAGATTATCTTTCTAGGTCAAAGCATGAATCACTAGAATTTGATCAAGACTCAAGCAATTCTGAACAAGTACTTCAACTATATATAAATCAATCAATCATTCATGGCAAAGGGTGATTTTACCTAATATCATAAATGTGGGTAAAATCGAATCGTAAAATTGTAGGATTTTAAGCTCCATATAACATTGACAAAATAATATTAATAAAAAAAAATCATGAATAACACAAAAACACATAACACTTGCAATGATAATTTCTCAAGGTTAATGTTCCAATTTATCAAAGTTAATGTTGGAAAGTGGTGAATTGATGATGATTAATATGTTGATGTGAATTGATGATGATCGATGGTGGTTAGCATGAGAAAAATAGATTATGTTGGTGGAGGAGAAGGAAAAGAGGCGTAATTTTGGCAATTTTGGGGAAAATAAGTAAAATGATCAAAAGATTTGAGTCATAAAATTGTAAGATTTTCAAGATTTTAAGGATTTAAATCATGAATACTATAGGATTTTAAGATCGATGGATTTTATAGTGAAATCAGGATTGGAACAGGTAAGTAAATCATAAAATCGTCGGATTTTAGGATTTAAATTGGAATTTTGACTACTTTGAGTAGGAAGATGACAACATATAGAATCATGGTGAGTGGATAAATTTGTTGTGGATTCCCTCAACCACGTATGTACATGCCAGTTTTCTTTTCGAAGCGACTCTAAGGAAACTCTATGATGAGCATGGATATGCAACACTTTTCCTTCTACTTTCCCCTCGTCCAGTAGTTAGATTCATTTTGTTTCCCTTTGTGTTCATATACAAAATAATATGGAATCTTACCCTTGGAGACACATCAATCTCCATGATTCATTTTAAAACCCCAAAGTAGGTTCTACCTAACTGAGTAAGAAAACGTGAGACTAAGGAATGACGATCCTGGTTACCTACTAGGTAAATTTGACCCACTATTCTACATCAGATCATATGTTGTAATGCAATTTAGAGAGGAGGATCGGTGGAATCTAGAGTCCATCAATTATCGTACTAACCTTATTTTAGAACCATAGGGTCAACCTTGTTTCAACACTTCCCCCACTATGGGATTGAGAGGTACTTTTCGTCGCCTTAAAGAATAATGTTAATAGATGAGTATGAGGTACTTAGCAGTCAAAAGGTGAACTTGGGAAAGTTTGTTGTCTGTTTTAGTGCTAACATCCTAATGGAGGAGAGGCTGGCGATGGCTTCCAACTTCCAAGTTGGGTGTAGGGGCGGTTGGGGTACACGATAAGTATCTCG